TACTCTTGAATTGAATTTTACGGCTTAAATGTGAAGAACATGATATTTAATAAATAAAGGTAACACAAAACCGTTAAAAAACATCCCTTTGAGAGGAATCTAAAATCTGAAAGCTTTCAGACTTTTTTAATCCCTAAAAAATTAAATAAATACTAGAAGTGGTGTTTCCTCCTTGACGAAGGAGGATGTAATCCCAACCTGTTTTGAATGCATAAATAGTTAAACAGTTTAGTTTTCCCATAAAGATGAGCACAATTTAAGTGTGAAATTTCCCTAGCTTAAAAAATGAGTTAATATATATTTACTAAGCTTGCTACTAAGTTGAACTAACATAACAGTAACAATTGGCCGCTACTTTTTAAAAATAATATGGTATAGTTCAACGAATGGAGAAAGTAAAGGGTTTTAAAAACTTTGGTATTCTGGAATAAAGTTCTTTAGAAGTATTACAGGTACTCATGTGGTTAAATTAACTACTGAGTTGAAGTAAAATGAACTTTCAAACAATGGTGTACTGAATTAACAAGAGAAAGGGGAATAATATGTGTGCGTCGAGGAAATGCTTGAAGAGGCAAATAATTTTGGGCTGTATTCAATGGTGGTGTGAACAAGAATGTTATTCTAGGTTTTTGCAAAAAGAGCGATATAATTTGGGGTAAGAATGCACTTTCGAGCTGAATGAATTCGAGGAATTAGTAGTCAGATTTTTTTCTTTCGTTGTTGCCATTTGAAGCAGTGATTTTGAAGTGAACATCGAAGGCTTTAATAAATCGCATTAGCTTTAGTTGAAATACAGTTGATCTAGTGTTCCTTTTTATAGTAAAAATGGCTCCTTCCAAATGAAACAAATGTAGTGTTTGTTTCAAACGCAAATTTATTCAGTTTGCGAAAGAAAATGGAAATCGTGCTGCTGCAAGTATGTTGAGGTTGGTGAAAGCTTCATACAAGAGTGGATAAAAAATGAAATCACGGTAATTAATATGCGAAAAAATAAATGTGCTTTGCGCAAAGGAGTAACGAAATGGCTTATTTAGAAGAAAGTTTTGAGAACTGGGTCCAAGAAAGTCGACAGTCTAATTAATTGTAACAAGAAAAAGCATAAATTTATTTAAGTGGGCGAAAAAGAATACAAATGAAAGTGAAAACTTTAAAGAAACTTTGAGTTGGTGTAGTCGGTTTATGGAACTGAATAATTCAGTTCTACGAGAAAAAACACAAAACTTTTATAAAGACTTCCGTAATGTTACTGACCTACCAAAAAAAAAAAATACTGTTACATATTGGAAATTTGGATGAAACTCGAGTAATGTTTGATATGCTAGAAAATAAAACAATAGATGTGAAAGGAACAAAAAAGGATTCACATAAAAACAGAGATCACGAAAATCTCTCCTCACCGTAGTGTTTTTCCGTTTAGCGGATGGCACAAAATTTAAATCCATGGTTATTTTTAAAAGAAACACAATGCCGAATTATAATTTCTCAAACGTTTTAATTCGTGTTCACGTGAAAGAATGCATGGACGAGAAAGGTATGATATCGTGGATAAGATGCATTTCGCAAAGGCGGCTGTGTTGCATGCAGGGTGTCTTAAACCTTTTCCGGTTGCGACCCCTTTTTATCACTGAGATTTTTTCGCGACTTTCAGGTCCCCATAATTATCTTTATCTATTATCTTATCTTTATCTATTTTCAGATACATTGTCTAAAAATATTTGGTAATTGTAAAATTATTATAATAAAGAAATATCAAAACTGTTAAAATTTTTGGCGACCCCCTGCTGCAGGTCTCGCGACCCCCTTGGGGTCACGACCCACAGTTTAAGATACCCTGCATTAAAGAATCCAGAAAGTATTTTAGTTGGGAACATGTTAAAATCCCATCTAACGGATAATACGAAAATATTATTGAAAGAGTGTAATACAGACAACGGCTGTTATTCCAGGCGGATTAACGCCAATAGTTCTGCCTTTAGATGTGTGCATCAATAAGCAAAGCAAAGAAAATTTAAAACGACAGTGGAATATATGGATGTTGGAAGGTTAAGAAATATTCAACAAGTAATATAAAAAACTTTTTTTCAAAGTCAATTCCTACTTAGGTCAACAAAGAAAAATTATAAAAATAAATAAATAATAATTTAAAGACACTAAAATTACAAACAAAAACTTTTAATTACAAATTTTGTGAAAAAACTATATCTGTGATTCACTACATATCAAGTGTGATTCACTACATATCAAGTGTGATTCACTACAAGTTAAAAAATATATTTGAACTTGAGTGGATGAATAAAAAGTATTTTATTAACGACTGAAAATTTGAACAAGGTATAGGGAGAGTGTGTGAGCTAACAGTAGGTATTTAAAAAGGGAGGCCATGCAACATGCCAGTCAATAGAGTGGATAATAAAAGCATGGAATGAATTTAAACCTGACATAGTTCAAAAGTCATTAAAAATGTAGTATATCTAACAATCTAGACTAGATGAAAAGGAAGATGATTATTTGTTTATGGATCAGAGTAGCAGTGATGGTAAAGATGAAACAGATTCGATGACGTACCTGAAGCTATAACAGAAGATGAATAAGACGAACTTTTCATGTTATCCGAAAATGAGAATTTTAAAGTTCATAAAATATGTCGTTTCTTTTAAATAAACAGTCTTTAGGTATATGTAGAAATCTAATTTTTTATATTCATCTTTTTCTTATTTTTAAATTTATCATTTTAATATCCGGCGTATAACACGCATCCGTAAATTTCGGTTTTATTTTTTGTATTAAAAGTGTGCGTTATACGTCGGAATATACGTTAATACTCTGATAATTAAAATAGTCCGTTCGTGATTTCATAGACTAAGCTTATGACGTCTGTAGAAAAAGATATTTCGATATTTATGTAATCGATACACGGAGAAGAGCCCGGAATTGATATATGCTCAGTTTACAATATAAATATACTAAAAGATGAGATTCTCTGAAGGAACCCAGTCGTTAAAAATTTTCATAAAAATATCATATTTTACATCTGAATAAAAGGATACCTGGGAAGATGAATTAGGAAGATTTTGGTCTTAGATCAGTCCCAGAAAAAAAAATCAGGGAAAGTTCTTATAAGCAAAACTATGAAATACCGTGCAATGTTATTATCATTTAAGAATAAAGCAAAAAGAAAAATAAGTAGCAAAATAACTGTGATTAATTAGCTGAATGATGCAGGAAATTTAGTTGAATTTAGATCTTTTAGATCTTCTGGTATATTCCCTCAAATGCTATAGACAATATATTCATGAATTTCTAAGGTTTTTCCTTTGAAAAGGATCTATTTAAATTGTTTGTTCCTTCACAGAAGGCAGCGGTGTCTGCCCGTTAGTGCCTCCACAATAAAATGGCCACCACTTCTGGCCACTTTTATGCATCATCTTTTTAGGGATAGCCATTGTCGAATAGGTAAGTGCCTGCCATTACATTAAAAAAATAAAGTAGGTTTAAAATTCTCTGCTGACTACCTTTTTAAGAACTGAAAATATCCTTTTTTCAGTTTGGTTTTCAACATGAAAAATAATTAAAAAAAAAAAATCTGAACGGTTTCAGATTTTAAATTACGTCCAAAGGGGCGTTTTTTTAAACATATTTGTGTGTTACCTTTATCTATTAAATATCATGTTCTTCCTTCTTAAACCATAAAATTCAGTTCAGGAGGAATATCGCAAAATAATTTTAAAATAATAATTTTAAAATGAGCATATCTTTAAAATTTCTGATACACAATTGCGCGCTGGAGATAAAAAGATTCCCCCCCCCGGTAGAGTGTTACCATTGCTCGCTTTGAAATCCTTGTGTTTGTTAATCAAAAATTCGTTAAAGTTTTACAAAATATGAAATCAATAATAAAATAAATTCCAAATTTCAAATTTGGTCTTCCACATGCCCATATTCGTAGGAGGATTACGTCATTTAAAATTCGATGGCTCTATGTACCGTTGTTTTATCACAATGCGAGAAATATATAAATACATTTATGTAGATTTTTTATTATTTAATTTCTTCAAATATAATACAAGACTCTAACATTTGGTGGCAACAGTTTGAAAAGTGAAACGGACATTTATAGTGATTCAACGCAAATCGCAAAACGAAAACAATAGTCCTTCAGGGACAAAGCGCCTTTGGACTAAAAACAAATTCCCATCAAGTGTTGTTTGAATATGAAACAGACTTTTAAAAGAAGTGTGTCTTGTTTCAGAATGAAAGTTGTCGATTCCTGCCAGAAAGATTCGATCTTCCCTTGTAGAGACATTAGGTAATTTTTTGGAAGCCGGCAAGATGAAAAATGAGCAATCGCCTTCGCCGGGAATCGAACCACGGGCTTCTAGAATACCGGCCCACTACATCACGAAGGCACGCTAGGAAAGCGGGAGAAATACCTAATCGAATAAAAGTGGTACCCTAATCGAATAAAAGTGAAGCATGAGAGTAAAATTAATAACATATTTGTTTCAGTATCCCTAAATATTTTGCGAATATTTTGGTAATCGAATTATAAGGTATTATCTCCCTCCTTTCTACACGCTTTCGTGCTGTAATAGTTAGCACACTCAGCGTGTATTCGGGAGGTCCAAGTTCGAGTTCCGGCAGGGGCATTGCTCATTTTTCGTGTTCCTGATTCAAAAAAACTAATGACTCTACAGAATGAATATTTCAAACTTCATTGAAATCAGTTAGTCACCACCGCTTCAGTAAGGAAACAAGAAATTAGTATCTAATAAATAAAACACTACAATTCAAGAAATTACTGATATCTCAAAATTTTCATATTCTTTTGCTTTCAACGACACGTTTGTGATAAGAAAATTATTATAATTGCATCTCAGAGGATCATTTAAAGAAATACGTATAAAATTTCGTGTAAATAAATCTAAGCTTAAAATTAAAAAATCTTCCTATATCTAACATTGCAGTAAATTATTAATACTAATTACAATAAATTATTCAAATGCATGCAGATACACATTTTTATTCTAGACCACATGAACATTAAACATCATCAGAATAGAATAATAGCAGAAAATTTGACAAAGAATTTGACAGCAGTTTAAGCTACATCATATTTCGAATATTACCTTGAAACGACACAGATAGATTTAAACATTACATATAACTACGCAAGAGTAAACTAACACGGAATTTTCTGACCACATTTATCACACCTAGTTACGTCTTCTGAAGATGATTTGTTTTCCTCTAAGCTTTCCGCTAAGGTTTGCTCTTCAATAGAAACTATGCTTTTTCTTAATGCATTCTCCTTCGTTGAGTTGGTTGCTACCATCAAATCGATGTGCGAATCCAGGCTGTACTGACGCTGCCCACGGACTAATCCCTTCACACGTCGTTGCAAAACTGGAGAATTTTTGCTTGCTATCCTCAGGGTGCCATTCCTGTCTAAGAAATCTTTGAAATTATCTCCAGCGTCGGTGATGGCGACAAAGCTGGCGTTCATAATCTTCGGTATCATGGGACTATTGCTGAGTAGAAGGCTGGCGCCAAAGTTGGGATTCCGTCGCTTAATTTCCGCCATAGACATTGGACGCCTGCCCGAAGGAGATGCATTCAGCAGCTGGCTGCACATCATTTGTATAAAATTCCAGTCGTTGCGGATGTCCTGGCTGGTAGTTCTGGGTGATGTGACGGTGAAGCGAATAACGTATTTGCCTTTGAGAGAACATGGAACGCAATGTAGCTTGCCATTAGAGTTAATTCTTTTCAGAAGAGTCTCAGTTAGCTCGTTTTCCCCCTGAAAAATGCATTAATGTATTATATAATTTTATTAACTCATTGCGTTGGAATTAATGAGATTTACACATTCAGAAATCTGTACTTATATTAATACACAGTTTTTTTTACCTAATGTATTTATCATTACTACTTTTTTTTAAGTTTTAGACCGGTTGAAGAGTGTGTGAGTCGATTTAAAAAATATTCCAGGTTCACCAAAAAATAAATTAACAAAGCCAACCAAATTTTAAAATTATCTGAATGAAATCTAGTCCGTAATGCTTTCAAAAGTGCATTGTTGTCTTCATTTATGCACCAGTCTCATTGGTTATGCTATGAAGAGTGCTCTTTCAGAGTATTTGATTTGAAGCCAGTACAGTGCTTAGGAGAGCCGACTGTGATACTAAAGACCCCGGGTTCGAATTCCGAAGGAAAAATTGTCTTTCCTTTATAGGCGGCAACGGTGTCTGTCTATTAGGTGCCTCCACAACAAAAGGGCCACCAATTCTGGCCTTTTAGGAGTGGCCATTTTCGAAGAGGCAAGTGCCCGCCATTAGATTTAAAAATATATATATTTGAGTACGTGTAGAATTCTCTGTTGAATTCCTTTTAAGAATTGAAAATATCGCTTTCTCAATTTGGGTTTCAACCTGAAAAATAATTAAAAAAGAATCACCAGATTAAGAAAGAAAAATAGTAGGAATGACGGACAGCTTCGAATTCTGTTTTTATTCCAGAAAATTGCTTTCAGTGTGCTACAACTGAATACGTTGTTGTAGTAAAGCAGCGTATTCTCCTCCACTGCTGATATCTGTTACGACAAACAGCCTTTCTCAACCATCTCAAGATATGGATATAATATGTCAATTATATGAAATCTCAGAATAACACAACTCAACATATGATTCCATAATTCCTGGGGGAGGGGAAGTCTGATGTGGATACTACATGACTTCCTTGTACGGCTTATTAACTTATACACATTTTTTGCTAAACTTCATTTAAACTTATTTCCTCGAATTATTTAACTTACTTAACCAATCTCTCCAGCCAAGTTGAAACTGAGATCAAAAACTGAAAATTTTGAAGTTAAATCTGCTGGTCAATTTTTGTCGGACGCGAGTCAAGTTTCTTCTAAATTTATTTTTTCATAACAGGTATAAAACTATCCCAAGTATAAGTACATGAATCGGGAGATCGCATTAAAAGTTAGATTTCATTATTGGTCGAAAATAAGTTTTAAAAAAAAATGTAACATCGCCAAAACATAAAAATTTTCGTCTTATAAAATACTTCTGCAACTAATGTATATAATTAAGGCCAACGATTACGAAAATGAAGGACTTTTAAGGGTTAATGGGATGAGTATATATATATATATAAATATGTGAATCAAAATTATAATATAAACTAACGGTAAAACATTAATTCTCCCTCTCTATTCTAAAAATCGCAATAATTTTTCTGGATTGCGTCATTTCTAGATCATTCTATGGCCTGCGCAGCTCTTATGCTGTAATAATTGGGAACTGAAACTATCATTGTAAACCAAAACTTTTCTTTTCTTGTGCTTTCATCTTGCATAACTACGCACTTCAGCTTCTGTCTGTGCTGTGCTTGGACACAATTACGCTATGCTGTTTCCTATTGCAAAAATATCAATAATGTAAATGTTCTTGAACAGGCACGATTAGGGTGTCAAGTGATCTGCGGACACATAATGTCAATTGGAAATAAAAATGGAATTAAAATCGCCTCGACTGTTAAGTTTTATTTACAAAGTCAACACATTAGCTTAGATGCAATCAGAATACTTCCTCTGCAATTTAGGATTCCTACGCATCAACAGTGTTCCGACTTTTTCCTTTTCTTTGCTATTATGTCATATATATATATATTCTAATTTTTGTTTTACAAGATCCAAAATTTACTTCAATTTCATTCAATTAATGCGCAATCTTTTTGTTTGACTAAAAATATTTAAAAGTTTTTCTTTTGTTTTCAGAATTACATATTTCGCACAAGATTTTAGCCTTTTCAGCGATTACTTTCTCGCCAAGGTTTTTTTAGTTTCGCCAACGAAGCCGAAATGGCAAACTTGTACGTTCCTAGTGTTTCGCATCTCATAGTTTAGACTGGTGTCTAATGAGAGTTCTCGATATTCTTAAATTACTTTTTGTGTGTTCTAATTAGGTTTTTCACAAATATGTTTTATAATTTCCCTCACAGCTTAATTCATTGGATTACCTATTTAATGGTAAACATTTCAATTTAAAATTTTTCACTGAAATATTTTGTTTCTTCACTTTCGTTTTCAGTTCTTTTAATAAAATAGAATTCTCTTTATTTAAGGCTATAGTAATTATTCTAATTATAATTTACTTTGTTTTTCCTTGCTTTGGAGAAGGGCCAGAATTTTTGGGTGAACTATTATAATTAAAATACATCGAAATGGTTCATCGGCTAATTCTGGATACAGAAAAGCAAAGTTTTTGTAGAAGAGAGATTCCAATTAATTTCAGTGTTCCTCCCCCCTGACGAAGTAGCATTGAAGTTCATTGAATTCCTCTTCCGTGTTTGTTCATTTTTTAAATTTCGTTAATGTTTTGAAATGGGATTTTGCTTGCTTGAAACGTTTGGTTTTAAAATTTTAAAATTCTTTGCTGCATTTATAAGATTATTTGAAATTTATGAATTATGAATTTCAATTTTTGGTCTTTGTGAAATATTAGTTCTAAATTTCTTACTGTAAGTCTAATGATAATTTTTCTGCAGCTTAATGCGCGTAAATACTAGGCATCTTTATATTTTGTTTTCAAAAGAAGTGTTCTATAATTATATATATACATATGCATAATGTATATATATCTATTTGGCTTTGCCGATTGTAATAAAAAAAAGTAGATAAACAACTAAATGTTATAGCAATCCCATATGCAAAATTGCAATATTCTATGGCTAATCGTTTTTGAGTTATTAAAGACGCATACGTACGTCTTCAGAAATACATACATAGAGCCGTTACAAGAATCCCTTTTGAACCAACTTTAAACCCATTTTAACAGTCCTTTATTCTGTGCGTACGTACAGACCTCACGCGAGTAAATCGTTCAAATAGATTTGGGAACGGTCAACATGGATACTTCTGTTGAAATATGATATCCGACATTTTTCGCGATTGCAATATTAGCTTTAAGTCGTAGAAGGATGTAAAAACACATGTTAATTTTCATATGCTCATACAGTGTCTCAAAAAAGTGATGGGACGCTTGTGCTTTACAAAAGGAAACTGAAAATAAATTTAAAAAACATGTAAAATTTTTTGTGGGTGTTTTTCATACTTAAATTTAGTAGCAATTATTACATAACATACATTTTCTCAAAATATTAAAATATTAATTTAATAAAAATACAATTGTTTAGAACGGAGCAGAAAATGGCTCACTTAAGTGATGGGACACTACGTACTATGCAACAAAAATCGTCTGAAGTAAAAAAAAATATCTTTTGGGGTATTTATTTTTACTCAAAAGCAATTGCCAATAATTTATAAAATCGTCTGCAGTATTTCTCTCCAGTTTGTTTTGGAATTTTTGTGTTTTTTAGCTCTGTGCAGCCATGAATGCTGAACGAAAAGAAACTTTGCCTGGAATTCGAAAATTAGTTATTAATTTGCATATTGAACGTGGAAAATCTATTAGAGAAACTACTGAAACAGTTAACTTCAGTCATTCAACAGTTTTCAATATCATTAAGCGATATAAAAAGAATCATATGATTCAGGATAAAAGAAGACCTGGCCGACCATCAAAGCTATCCAATGGAATAAAGCGAATAATCGTTCGAAATATTTAAAAAAAATCCAAGAATGAGTGCTCCTAAAGTTGCTTCTGATTTACAAGCATTATATGGAGTAATTATTAATTCTGAGACTATTAGAAGAGTAATTCGATCTACTGGATATCACGGTAGAGCAGCCAGGAAAAAATTCTTCGTGAGTGAAAAGAATAGAAAACTCAGACTGGCTTTCGCAAAATCCAACATTAATAAGAATTCTGATTACTGGAATGATGAAGTTATATTTGCTGATGAGAGTAAATTTAATATATTTGGTTCTGACGGTAGAATCTTGGTGTGGAGAAAACCCAGGGAAGAATTTCGCAAACAGAAACTTGGTGCCAACAGTAAAACATGGTGGAGGAGGAGTTATGGTATGGGGGTGTATGTCGTCCGCTGGAGTTGGTTAATCTTGTTTTTATTGACAGTATAATGGATCAGTACAAGTATATTGACATTTAAATCAAAATTTGAAATCTTCAGCACGAAAATTGAACCTTCATAACTATTTTAAATTCTACCAGGACAATGACCCCAAGCACAGTGCTTTGAATGTTAGATTCTGGCTGCTGTATAACTGTCCTGAAATAATAAAAACACCCCCACAATCTCCACAATTAAATCCCATAGAGAATATTTGGCAAGAATTGGCATCAAGAATTCGCAAACACACTATTTCTTCAAAACAACAATTAAAATCGGTGCTTCAAGAATGGGGTAAAATCACTCCAGAAATCACAAAAAAATTAGTCAAATCCATCCCAAGAAGATTAAATCATGTTTTAAAAGTAAAAGGAAATCCAACAAAATATTAAAATCTTTTAAGAAGTAAAATTTTTGGATAAATATTTGATGAAAAAGTAAGTGTCCCATCACTTATGTGAGCCATTTTTTGCTCCATTCTAAACAATTGTATTTTTATTAAATTAATATTTTAATATTTTGAGAAAATGTATGTTATGTAATAATTGTTACTAAATTTAAGTATGAAACACAACCACAAAAAATTGTAAATGTTTTTTTAATTTATTTTTATTGCAGTTTCCTTTTGTAAAGCACAAGTGTCCCATCACTTTTTTGAGACACTGTATATGTATATATTCCGTAATTCCTGAGAATAAACCACATTGGAATTTTTATAATTGCTCTATATAAATGAATATGCAAGAAATGGTCATGGTATGTTTCTTTCTTGATTAAGTCTGTAGTGATTCTCTTACAGTTACAATTACTAGCAATCAATAATTTCAGAATTTTTGTGTGACAGTTGTTAATTGGCAGATGCGAGAAAATGTCATTAATGTTTTAGCACTGTTTGTGAATTTCTTTTAAGTGATGAATTAGAGATAAGAACGACTGAAGATTAAAAATTAAATAATTACCCTAATGCGAAAGACAGTCAGACCAAGGTGTCGTACCGCTGGAATTTCAAAACGATCATCGGCTTTGACAAGAGATTCAAATTCTTCCGCTAAGCGAACACTCTGAAATAATTTCAAGAATTAGGATTTGATACAGAAAGAAACCGGAAGATGGCGCCACGAGAAAGACTATTAAAAATTATCAAGTGGGAAATTGACTCACATGACGTATATGCTCCTGGAGTCCCTTTATTCCAAAATTCCTGAGAACAAACCACAGTTTAAGGGCACGAAATCGTTTGCTCAGTGATATCTGCCAGTGCTGTAATAACCAGAAAAATTAAAAAATGTTATATAATAAGGAAAAATTCTTTAAATATACAACGAAACAATAATATTTTAATTACACTATTCAAAAATGTAGTTACAGCATTCTCATTTTTGCACAAAATTATTTTCTAAATTACCTTTAATTTTCTCTTCAATACATTTTTTTAGCATAACTGTTGCTTTTAAATATTATATGTTCTTTTTGAATATCCATCAGGACAGCGTTGTCAGACGCAATCAATATTTTATTTATTGTTGGGTGCTTATAGGTACTTTTGAAATGGTGGGTGTCGATTTTGCAGGTACGCTTTACCCCAGAGTTAGTGGTAAAGCTTACATCCGTTCAGTCTATCGGACCATTCATCTGGCATTAAAAACGTCCTTGACAATTGACGCTTTTTTCCAAATCATTGAGACGTTTTAAATCTCATCGTGGAAGATAGTGTAGTGCGAAGCTGCACGCAAAAGGAGATCTTTAAATAAAATAAGTTTTTAGTCCAAAGGGGCTTTGCCTATGAAGGACTATTGTTTTCGTTTTGCAATTTTGCGTCGAATCACTCTGAATGTTTGTTTCACATTTCAAACTGTTGCCACCAAATGTTAGAGTACTGCATTATATATATTTGAAGAAATTAAATAATGAAAAATCTGCATAAGTGTATGTATAGGTCTCGCATTGTTATAAAACAGAGCCATTGAATTTTGAATGACGTAATCCTCCTACGAATATGGGCATGTGCAAGACCAAATTTGAAATTTGGAATTTGTTTTCTTATCGATTTCATATTGTGTAAAATTTTAACGAATTTTTTATTAACAAACTCAAGGATTTCAAAGCGAGCAATGGCAACACTCTACGGGGGGGGGAAACTTTTTATATCCAGCGCGCGGAACTGTGTATCAGAAATCTAAAAGATATGCTCATTTTAAAATTATTATCTTAAAATTATTTTGCGGTATTGCTCATGAACTGAATTTTATGGTTTAAGTACGAAGAACATGATGTTTAATAAATAAACAGACCACACAAAAATGTTAAAAAAAGTCCCCCTTTGGTCATAATTTAAAATCTGAAACCTTTCAGATTTTTATTTTTTGTAAAATTATATTCTTTATTCTCTAACGCGATGCATACGTATACGCAGGATCTGTTCTTGAATACATTGTGGTAGTGGTTACCACACTGTTAAAATTAAGTGCATTAACAAGCAAGTTATGCGTATCTGTATCACTAGAAAGCAGTTTATGCACCATTTAAAGAAAATGAAATGACATACTACAAATAATTGTTTATAATTTGTAAATAATACTTACTGTAAAATCTACAGCTAGACCTGTAATATAAAAGAGATTACTTTAATTAACATAAATTTAAATAAGAATTAAATCAATGACATTTTTGCAATTATTTATTAAAACTAAATTATTGACTTACTAATGCAAGTCTAAAACATACAGTGAAACATTTTAAAAGATCTCTGTATCTGCTTGGAAATACAGCGTGAAATTAATAATTATAAAACTGCATGAATCTGTATTTAAAACGTTTATAAATAATCCACTTTTCGATAAAAGTAAATGTTATACATGAGACTTTTTGCCCTCATTAAAATAGTCATGAGTAAATATTATTAATTGAATATTTTTATTTTAGCTAAATCATCTGTACTTGCAAATAATTTTGCTGCAGGTGACAACATTTAAAGTGCATAAATGCCTTGTAAAACGTACAATTATTTTACGATGTGTCTTAATTAAAGCGTACCTTCAGAAGTTTTGCGAGAGATTTTATCTTGAATGTTATGCTTAACTGAGAAAACATATATGACAATATACTGAATATAGTAAATGCCTGATGAAATAAAAGTTTGAATATAAAATAAAATTAAAAACAACTTTGTTGGAAGAAATTAAATTTTTTTCTTTTCATTTCCATATTTTTATTTATCTCCGAATTATGTAGAATAATTTACAATTATTATTGTGGAATTATTATTTACAGTTATTAATGGAATTATGTCAATTTGTGTAATAAAGAGATTAAGAAGAAAAAAATTAAATTATGGGTAAAGAACATACTTATAACTTCGAGTAAATAAAAAATTACAGATTAGAATAGATTGCGTAAAAAGGTCTAATTAATGCAATGAGATAAATAAATTTATTTAAACTTAAATTTTTTAATTCAGGTTATTTAAATTTTTTTTTTCAGTTTAAATATTGTACTGAAATCTAATTGCAGAAATTCCTCAACTGGTTTCACGTTCAGAATTTCATTTATCTTACTATTTTGCATTGCTTTGGAAACTATTTGAAATGCTTTTGCAATTACATGATGTACAAATGCCTGGAGATGTATTTCCTATGTAATACCTGGAATTTTTAATGGTTTAAAATCTGTGATATTTGATATCTGTGATTACTCAATTTCCGAGAGATGAGTTAGCATTATTCAACTTAGAATCTCTGTAATTCCAATTTGGCGACGTTCAAATTGGAAGCACTCTGATATTATTATTTATATTAAATGTGCAATTATTTTTTTTATGTCGCTCTAAATTTAACTCCAGAAAACATATTGAATAGAGTTACGCACATTCTGAACATGTGTACATGTTCACTACTACACTGTAGAGACATTAGGTTAATTGGAAGCAGGAAAGGAGAAAAATAGCAACCGCCTTTGCCGGGAATCGAACCACGGACCTCTGGAATACCGGCCCAGCGTGCAGAACTACTACACCACGAAGGCACGCTAGGAAGGTGGATAACACTATGTCCATAAAAGTCTTTATGCATCGTTAGCAACTATTGGTCATACATATATAGTGATGGGCAACTTCGGTAAATTCTTGTACCCGTTACGAGAGTAACGGGTACAAGAATTTACCTGGTACAAAATACCCGTTACTCAAGTAACCGTTACTTTGAAAAGTACCGAAAACCGATTTCAAGTACCGAGTACCCAAGAACAATTTGGAGTACCGAAGTAACGAAATACCGGAGTAACGGTTTGCTGTACCGGAGTACCCCCTAGTAACGGTTTGCTGTACCGGAGTACCCTAGTAACGATTTGGAGTATCGAAGTACCCTAGTAACGATTTGGAGTACCGAAGTGCCCTAGTAACGATTTGGAGTACCGAAATACGCAGCTAACGATTTTGCGCACTGAAGGAACTCTGCCACGTCACCACGTGTTTGATTTTATCTGTACGGAGTAAGATTTTAAATATCAGAAAACATGTCAACTACGGAAGTGTCTGAGGAGCAGACCATTCATGGACACAAGGAGCGCATATCACCATTTCGCAAATACAACCAGATACTACTGTCCTCGTACCAAAACCGAAGTGAGCTGAACCCTCATCGATCCTCCAGTAACGAATACCGAAATACCGAGAAGAAACTCATATTTTCGTTACAAAGTAACGAATACCGAAAAGCACCCGTTTCGGTACAGAAGTAACGAATACTGAAAAGTACCCGTTTCGGTACAGAAGTAACGATTACCGAAAACTATCCGTTTGGGTACAAAAGTAACGAATACCGAAAAGTGCCCGTTTCGGTACAGAAGTAGCGAATACCGAAAAGTACCCGTTTCGGTACAGAGTAACGAATACCGAAAAGTACCGATTTCGGTACTGAAGTAACGGGTACTTGAATGTACCGATTTTCAGTACCCGTTACAACTAAGTACCCGTTACAAAATACCCGGTTCGGTAGTACCGACTCATCACTATACATATATATGCCGTCAACTCCCGATGATTGGCGATTAACAGAGTACTGCCTACAAATAAATATAATTGAAAGGAGGTTTTTATACAACAAGCTTTTATTTAAAATGGATATGATAAATTAATACACTAGAAAAAGAAAAAAATTATAGCATAGTTTAATGGGAAAAGCAAGTTAAATAATTGTATTTACAGAGCTCTTCCACAATTTTAGATGTCGAATAATAAAAACGTGGGGCATCTATTTTAAATCAAAAGAGATAATGGCATATATATTTGGCAGTACAACTTAATTAATAAATTACCCTTTTATTATTAGCGATGTAAAAATGTAGATGAATTCTGTAAGGTGAATTATTTAATTTATTATTCCCAATATGATAAATTGTTTTTTGCCTTTTAGTGCCCTAATTATCACATTAGGCTCACCAGCTTCCGAGCGGTAAAAGCCGCTGAACATTGGTGTTTCGGTTCGGGGGTTCGAGTTTAGTCGAACGGGCTGGCTGCATGGGCGTTTTCGTGGTTTTCCACATGTGTAACGGGGATACGAGCTAGTTTCCCTTAAAATGATCTTCACGGGGCAACCCTTCCTTTCCATGTAGTGCCATAAGTAAAAACAAATTATCACATTCAATTTAAATAAAAGTTTATTGTGTAAAATCCCACTTTTTTTTTTTTTTTTTTTAACTGCATTTTATTTTTTGTTTCTTAGTTTCAATTACGCGTTCTCAATAAAGAGAGTTTTAGCCATTATTAAAATGCAAACAATAAATTATAAGAAAACCATAAAATGAAGAAAAATAACTGAAGGTCATTCAGAGAATGTATTCGGAAACTGGATGTAATAACAAGCTACAGCGAGCGTTTTACTTGAAGCAGAAATTAAAAAGAAATGTTGTCAGTTCATCATTAAGTGCACCAAGATAGCAAACGAGACCAATTTTTACTTCCTTGTACGAAGTAAAAAGGAAGTATTGTAATCGCGAAAAGTTTCAGGCATCATATTCCAACGCAATCGAATGCAATTTAAAGATGTTTTTGCGTAACATCTGTATGGTTGCTATTTTTCTCCTTTCCTGATACGTAAGGACAGGATAAAGAACTTCCCCCCCCCCAAAAAAAAAATTGTAAAAGTAATTTAAAATGAATTCTAAAGAGAAATTTTCGTGGCGTCTGTGCGTACGTACGTATGTATCTCGCATAACTGAAAAACGAGTAGCCTTAAGAACGTTCAAATTTTGTATATAGGACTGCTATAACATGTAGATGTGCACCTCGTATTTTGGTTGCAATCGGCTGCACCTAAAGTATATAAATATGTATATATATCCACTCTGTTACTCAGCTCAGTGATCTCAGTTTCTTTATTCTTATATGTTTGTAAATTGTGCATTTTTTACTTTAAAAATGATTGAATTATGTTGTCCTTATCTTCCGGTTAAGGTTCGTATGCCTTTATTAAATCTGTATGCAATATTTCTAGAATTATCAACAATTTTAAAGTTGTTTAAGTGCCACCAAGCCTAATAATTTTTTCCATGGCGGCCATTGCTTGTTTATATTTGAAACAGTAGAATAGTAGATTTGTTGCCAATCTGGAGAGAGTAAGCTTTCCAATAACACCTTCTTTTATTATTGCGAATTAAATCATGGTTAATCCATTCTGGAATTATTCGAGGAAATAAGTGTTTAAGATTTTCTTTATAATTTTCAATACAGACATCTTGTGTTTTAATGTATTTTTGCCTTGTCGCGAAGTGAGAACTGAATTAATCGAATGAGAAATACTGTATCGTCTGTGAAAAACTGTTTTTTTTTTTTTTTTTTTTTTTTTTTGTTGTTGTTGCTGATGCTGTTCTTTGTTTAATTTCTTTTATACATCGTTTTAGATGTATTTGAACAGAACATGTGGCAACGATTAGATAATTCTTCAGATGATATACATTTTGTGCATTCTGAGTTAAAAAATGAACGAAATATAACGCTGTTAAGTGAACCTAGGGCCAGAGTGTCGCTATGGTAAACAAATATAGTGAATTTTAAAGAGTGCATTTATTCTATTGTGTTTTATGCGCTATCGACGATGTAGATTTAATCCAATCCAATACGTTTAAATGAAATGCAAGAAAAATGCATATAATTTAATATTCGGTACAAGGATGTCATGTGGTGCACACATCTGGTTTTTTTTTTTTTGTTGGTAATTATGGAAAATAAGCAAAATAATTAAGCCTGCCTAGACCTGAAGTGGTTAGTGATTCTAACAGCCGTACCGAAGGGCCCGCGTTCGAATCCCAGGAAAGGCATGATCTGAACTGTCTATCTCTACACAGGAGGCAAAGATGACTCATCTATTAGGTGCCTTCGTAATAAAGTGATCCCCGCTTCCGGCATTGCCTACCATGGATAATTCCCGCCACTAGGTGGAGCGAATTGTGAAAATTTCATCGTGAAATTAGATCAAAAGTAAGCAATGGAAAAACTTCCCTGCCTTGCAGAAAGAATTCTAAAAGAAGGTGCTACTTTAGTAGACGGTTGCACGAGTTTTGGCGATTTTTTGGGGGCGAGCAATACGACGTATGGTAAACCCATTGCTGGACAAGTTATTTGTGGTAACCGATACTTTGTTGTCATTTTATTTAAAAAATAATGCGTTTTATTATGCATAAATTAATTGTTTTAAATATTATTTATGGCTTATAAATATTAAAAATCAATTTAATTTTGCATTTTTATTTGAAATAAAAATTTAGCTGTTCATGATATTTTATATAAAATTTTGTTGTTCATGATATTTTATATAATTTTATGTTGTGGATGATGTAATCGATGACGTCACCTTACTTATAAAGTAATTGGCTTTATTATATCTGTTACCGTGAAAGACCGAAATTGGAGAATGTCGACTTTCACCGGAGAACATCAGCATTCACCAAATACGTCGGTGGAAGACCGAATATTTCACTTTACATTCTTGTATATTCGGACCTTCACCGGTGTATGTCGACAATCACAGATATGCTTTGGTGAAAGTCGAAAAGAGAGGTCATAAATTGCCATAATAGTTTAAGTTGTTGCAATAAATGAGATTTGAATCATATAATTTAGTAAGTTTTTTATTACTGTTATTTTATTTTCTCATTTAGAATGTACTGTATAATTAAGTAAGTTTTTAACTTCTATTATTTTCCTTTCTCATTTTGAATGTATTGTGTGTTTTAGGTTTCATGTTCTTAAGTTCTTTATTTCAAGCTTCAAGTGCGTGTATTCGCGACTGAATTACGGAGAAAGAAAATATATATTGTATATTTTCAACATTCACCAGTAGTACATGGTGAATGTCGACATTGACCGGTGTAAGTCAGAAATAAGAGATTTCGAAAATATTCGGACATACACCCAGAGCTATGTGAATGTTGACATTCACGGTGAAAGTCGAAAGTCGACATTTTCCAGATTCGGTGTTTCACCGAAACATATCTATAAATTTAATCTAATGTTTTAAACATTATTTATGGCTGTTTAATATTAAAATAAAATTTTATTTTGTATTTTTTTAAATATGATTTTATTATGAATGATTATTTAAATAATTTTAATTCTATGCGTGATATAATCATCTCCCTGATTGGTTACTGAATATTTGTGCATCACAGCGCCATTTTAAAATGTTATTATTCATCTCTTCGAATTCCTCAGATTTCAAAGCGAATGGATGTGTCCGTTTCGAAGATGAATGTTGTTATTGGTAATTACCAAGAATTACTGGTATCGGAATAAAAAAATTGCCATTTGAGACCTTATTTTGGCCAACCTGGCTTTCCTAATCAAAGATTTATTTATTGTTACAAGGGTCAGAGGAAATTTATTTTAAATTTTTGGAGGAAACCTCGCTAATTGCTTCTTCAATGAAGTGCGAGAGCTGTGGATCACAGATGAAGATCGTTTTTTTTTTCTGGTACTTATCAATATACGACGGGTAAAATACTTAAAAAATGTAAGTACATATTTTTTTTACTTTATAATTGTATACATCAATTTTTATTAAAAAATTAATACACTGTTTTAAAAGATTCCTGAGATATTTATTGCCACATATGTTTTAATGTTAAATAATTATATCCTATAAAACTTATTTTAAAGGATTTGAATTTAAGTAATTGAAAAATTTTAATTCTTTTAAACGTTGGTATGATGTTTTTATTTCAATATTCAATTTAAGTAATATTTTAATCCAATTAAAAGTTGGCGCAATGTTTTTATAGCGGTGTTTTTATTCTATCATATGAAAGTAATAATTTAACCTTACTTTAGCATTTTATACTCTTAGTAAATGCATTTATTTACATTTGCCAGCCATCTTGAAAAACAGCGTTTTCAACAAAAAAAATTAATCCATTACTTTTAACGATATTTATTTTTTTAAAGTTTCGAATACCTGATGCGTATAGAGCATTTTTCAAGATGGCTGACAACTGTAAAAACCACGCCAACAATTGCGCCAGTGTAAATCGCCAAAAATCCGTGCAACCGTTTACCAAAGTAGCACCCAAAAGAATACAGATACATGGCTGGATACGTGTATAAGTGCGAGAGAAAATACAAACTAAAGCTTTTAAAGTTTCCATGTCGCAGGAGTAGAGGAAACCCATTGAAACGTACTCAAAACCCCTTCTCTTGGTCGCGATACCAATGTGCACTTAAGGATTACGTGCGGGAATACAGACACCTCGTATTCATGACGTGCGATGTGTGATTATCAATTGTGAAGTAGCTTGTAATCAATAGGAATAATACTATTAAACATTTTTTTCCACAACCAAAATGTATGTATTCTCTAATGCGTAAGAAATTTAAATACGTATGATTAGTACATTTTAATTCTCGTGAAAATAAGAACCTATTTCCTGAAAATTTTAAAGGCACCACCAGAACTATCTAAAATGTTTTTAAAACGAAAACGCTAGAGCGAAAGGGATTTGTATAAAATACTCACCTGTGTTTTCATGCTTTAAGTATAAAGGATCAACATTAAATGTACGATGAAGACGTTCACTGTTTTTTACCCTGGAATAAGAATATTAACTTGAACATTGCAGCAAAAGCAGATATATTTTATGCTTTTTTTTATGAACATTGTACATACAGATGACAATTTACTCTATAAGAAGTCTGACTGTAAAATTATCATTTAAAGAAAAATCATGTGCATAGATAAGGATATTTTACATTACTCTTACCACATAGCCGTGCAATCGAAATGCACCATCAACCATTTAGAAGGATTGAAAGCAAAAGAGTCGGCAAATTCCACACCTTCCAACCACTTCCTGTATTCAGGACAGATAAAAGCACTGCCTGCGTATGCTGCATCGATATGTAACCACATATTCTCCTTCTCACCTGTTGAAAAATTTTAAATTATTCTTAATTAACAATACAGTTTATTTAAAACACATGACAGATTATTATTTTTTATTTGTCATATCTTTAACACTACTTCATATGGATTCATTCAAAATGCCGTTTACTCTCAGAATAAGATAAGTTATTCCTAATATGGCATTGCATTACCATGACATTATTAATGATTTTTAATTTATACTAGCTATTCCTATGGTATATATTACTTTAGAACAGGCAGTTCAAAGCCATTTCTTTTCCTCAAATCATGACCCATAATCATAGCAACGACTGCTGTGGGAAAAACCTCGAATCCTCTGATTCGGTGAAATGCATAATTCCCCGTGCTCTGATGGCGGCACACACTACTACCATAAATGAGGGATGGGTAAGGAATGAGGAGCCTATTTTCAAGTAGCAAATTATAGCTTTTGCCGCCATTTTAAGCTGTGTCGCAAAGATATGCTTGCGGATTTAATCTCTTTCTATAATTCTTTTGAAATGTTTATGAAAAAAGTAACTTCGGAAAAGCATTTATCCAAGAGAGAACCTTTCTTCTTTCTTTCCACCGACGGCGAGACAGCCGATCCACTGGGGCAGTTAGCATATCGATCAGGTGGCCCCGTTAACGGAATTTGTTATAAAATTTGCTGGATTGCAAGCCCCTTCCCAGACCTATGTTTGGCAAGTAAAATGTTGTGTTTCAGTCCTTTCCAAAAGTCACAACATACTTTGGTGTGTTTCTTGCAAGACGAGTGCTAAGAGGTGCAAAAACGAGTGCTGGATGAGTCAGTGGTTGAGGGATAGAAGGAGGCCAAAATGTGGGGAAAAAAATGATTTTCAGTGACTATGTTACGGTGAAACATCGAAATCTGGAGAATGTCGACTTTCACCGGTGAATGTCAACATTCAGGTAGTCGCTTGGTGTATGTTGGAAATATTTTCTAAATACTCTTATTTCTGACTTACACCGGTAAATGTCGACATTCACCATGTACTAATGGTGAATGTTGAATATATAAGAATATTATATTTTCTTCTCCGTACTTCAGTCGCAAAAACACGCACTTGAGACTTAAAATAAGAACTTAAGAACATAAGAACTTAAAGCACACAGTACATTCAAAATGAGAAAGGAAAATAATAGAAGTTAAAAACTTACTAAATAATGTGATTCAAATCTTATTTATTGCCCAAACTTAAACTATTATGACACTTTGAATTGCACAAGAGGCCCTTGCTTTTACAATTGTATTTATTTGTGGAACACTTTCTTTTGCAATGACAGCGTGTACATATACTCCTCTCTTTTCGACCTACACCAGAGTATATCTGTGATTGTCGACATACACCGGTGAGGGTTCGAATGTACAAGAATGTAATGCAAGACTTTCACCGACGTATTTGATGAATGTTGACATTCTCCGGTGAAAGTCGACATTCTCCAATTTCGGTCTTTCACGGTAACATCTACATTTATAAGGCATTTCCTCCCTCCTTTCTGCATGCCTTCGTGGTGTAACGGTAGCACACCCGCGCGTATTCGAGAAATCCAGTTTCGAGTTTCGGAGAGGGCATTGCTCGTTTTTCATGTCTCCTGCATCAAAATAACCTAATGACTCTACACATGTATAGAGTTAGACATGAATAGATGCAACTTATCCCTTTGCGGCGCGGTGTGCCCGGTCTGGGAAAACTTTCCTTCTATACGCACAGAAAAATTGAATGAAAAAGGATTGAGTTTACTATACGTTACTCTGAACCTTCTTTATTTATAGTAGATGGCAGCTCAACACAAGCTGATAATTTTTCTAGTGGTCCATATATTGTATTTTAGCCATGTTTAGTTTTATAAAACCCTCATTTTTCAAACAAATCTTCCATATTTTTTTAGGGTATAAAAGAAATTGTTTGAAAAGAAATTTCTATGTTATTTTTTTTGGCTCTATGCTAATCTCATTTTATATTTTAAATCTTTACCTTGAAATCTTGTTTAAAATCGAACGGCGAACTCGAGGTGTTCCCAGACCGGGCACACCAAGACTCTAGGACAACTGAGAGACTGTATTCTTTGTTTCTTCGCATCTCATTGGTCGGTTCATTGACAACAGAAAGGTGGGTCCACATCTTTGTTTCATTTCCTGTTTTTCTCTTTATTTTTTCCTCTTTCTCTCTCTTTTTTTTTTGGGGGGGGGAGGGGACGTTTGGTTATTAACTAACAAATTGTTGGGGTGATTTTCTAAAGGTCAAGGGTAATTTTATCAGTCAGCTGTTTGGTTTTTCACTAGAGCAGCTCTCTTTTTCTCTTTCGCTTTTCGTTCAAAGCTTCGCTACCACTACGTTTAGTAGGTTTGAGTTCTAGACGTTTATTTAATTTTATTTTATAGTTTATAATTTCTAATTGTAGATATAATATTAGTTTATTTTTTTGGATTTTTAATTATTTTCCAAACGGATCGGAGATGGCTGACCATTTCTGAAGCACTGAAAGGGTTACACGAATTGCTTCAGATAGTGATTCTGATACGGATCCCGGTACATGTGCAAAACATACAATCACAACCCAATATTGTACAAAGGTGGTGTCACTTTCTTCGAAAAGTACCACCATGAAAAAAATAGACTAACGTGTAAATATGAAATGTAAATAATGTAAATATCATATACTTAAGTTACTTTTTTTTCCCATTCATTCGTATGCAATTATCATATAACCAAAAAAGAGCTTTTTAGGGGGTGTAGAGTAGCAGGGCTTCCCGTAGCACACCTTAGGTGATGCTAAATTTGCTACGGTATTCAGAATCTAGTGTTTTTTTAATCGTCGACAAAATCTCTTACTCTTTTACGCACTTCCCAGCAATGCTCGTTTCAGCACTCTTTTCGAAGCTCTATTCAACAGTGTGCCCGCTTCGGGAACACCCACAGAATTAAAATGATAAGTGCTATCTTCACAAAATTTTAATTGTGTACTCCTTTAGGTCTAATTAGACTGCCTACCTTTTTTTAATTGAAATTCCAACTTTAAAAGGTAGCCGGAAAGCGTTATACTAAATAAAACGAGTCATAAGACGAGCTCTGCTTGCTTTGTCATAAGACAATTCACTCGCCAGGCGGGCCGGACTGCGTCCTTTAAATAAACAATAAACAACTTATACTTCCACAATGTGAAGTAAAGGACGACGGGGTTTTTAGGGCACCTAATCGCCAAATCCTGGGTGGGGAGAATCATCATCCACCACCCTTTTTAGTTCGAGCGCCAGTTGTAGAGAAATTAGATATTTTTTGAAAGCAGGAAATATGAAAAATATGCAAAACCTTCGCCCGGAATCGAGCCACTGACCTCTGTTAAATAGCTCTATAGATGATTAGATCTATAAATGATATATGATTAGTTAAATAGCTCTATAGATGATTGCAACAGAGGTGAAAGCATGAATGAGTTAAATTGATATACTTGGTACAATCAGTTATGTAACTGATTGAGTGTCCAAGAATGAACCTATTGTTAAGGAGAACATAGAGCCTATTCTTTTCCATAATCAAAACAGAAAGCTTTGCTAATTTTTCAATTTCTCTTGCTTCCAAAATACCTAATGTCTCTACAAACTAATCTAATTCTAAATAAAATTAACCAACCCAAAGCTGTAAAGAATCAAATATGGGGTAAAAAAGTACTAAATACGTTAACATTTTAAATAATTTATCAAAAAACGTGATTTCCTTGAAATCTAGAATACTAAAGAACTCTATAGATGATTGCAACAGAGGTGAAAGCATGAACGAGACTGAATGAGACTAAACAAACGGATATAGCAGATTGCCGTTTCCACGAAGATGAATTTCAAAGAGGAGAACCGATGTTGGGGCCAAATAAAGTTAACTCAAATTTTCAACGATAAAGTGTGCCTCATCACATCAAGATTAACTTTCTGTATCAGAACAGCACTGGAAACGATAGTATGTTCTACTTGTATTTTAGAAAACTTCTAATATTACCTTTGAGGTACCTAAATAGGTTATTTGTACTTTTAGTTCCACTGTGAACTGGGCTTGCGTCAGAGACGCTGCAGGCAGCCGCACAAAGCAGCAGAATTTAGGCAAGGCAAAAATTGTATAATTAAGAGAAGCACAGAGCAATACAATCTAGGGATGGCATTTTTTTTTTAGAATTTAGGAGAGGCAATGGGCAGTAGAATTTAGAGGAGGCAAAATATTGCGAATTTAGGGAGGCACCGAGCAGTAGAATTTAGGATGCTCAGAAAAAACACCTGGCTGCAAAATGTCTAGCTCTGGCTCTCACTGTTACTGTAATTGTTATTAATGATACACTGCACTATCATCAGTCGTTAAAAGTATGAACCAAATATTTACCATCTGCTATAAGAAATTATCTCTATAAATTCATGTTCTTACGGATGGCATTCCAGTTTACCTGTTGTTGTATTTTTATAAATTTTTAAAATCCTGCCTAATTATTGTTTCTGGGAAGAAGAGCTAGAAAACAATTGAAATGAAATGACTGATGGATTCTTTTTGAACATTTCGTGTAAATTTTCGAAGAGAACCCCCTGTGAGATCTTATTCAAGATAAAACCAGAAACCGTTAGATCAAACTTCAAGTAAAATTGTAATATCCTAGCTAAAATATTAAAGAACTGTATGGAGACTATTCGCTGGGTTCTTGTGACGTAAGTTACAAGTCCAAAGAAAGGTTAAATTGCCCTTTATTCCAACTCAAAATGAATGAACAGATAGCCCTCTTCTGCCGTACAATAAGCCTTCAGTTTGTTTGGCTTTTATTCAAAATAGAATACCAAATTTATAAGGTACTTCTCCCGCCTTCTTGGCATGCCTTCGTGGTGTGGTGGTTTGCACGCTGTTCGCGTGTTCCAGAGGTCAATGGTTCGATTCCGGGCGAAGGTTTTGCATATTTTTTATATTTCCTGCTTTCAAAAAATATCTAATTTCTCTACAACTGGCGCTCGAACTAAAAAGGGTGGTGGATGATGATTCTCCCCACCCAGGATTTGGCGATTAGGTCCCCTAGAAACCCCGTCGTCCTTTACTCAGAAGCCAGGAGTTTCGCTAAAAAAGCACAAATTTCCCAAAACTACTAGAGAACAAATTATTTTTTTGATTTTAATGTAAAAACTCTCCTGATATTTCATACCTGGATTTGTTTTCTTTTGAGCCTTTATTTCTTTGACACATTTTAATATGCACGTATATACACGTTCTTACCGATATCACAAAAAATATTCTAGGCAATCTTACCGATATCACAAAAAATATTCTTATAAGCGGCAAGGCCGTATATATATACGGCCTTGCCGCTTATAAGGTGTTTCTCCCGCCTTCTTGGCATGCCTTCGTGGTGTGGTGGCGGCACGCTGGGCTCGTATTCCATAGGTCCGTGATTCGATTCCCGGCGAAAGCTTTGCTAATTTTTCAATCTCTCTTGCTTCCAAAATACCTAAAATCTCTACAAACTAATCTAATTCTAAATAAAATTAACCAGCCCAAAGCTGTAAAGAATCAAATAACGGAGTTGGACCTTATTTAAAGATGAATGGAGTATACTAGCAAGCACGTAGAAATACGGCTGTAGAACAATAAGTTTAGACCTAGCACCAACAACGTGGCCAACCACGCTCTCCTACTGAAGTGACCCAGACTTCAGCTTAAATACTTATTTCTACCTCATTTACATAAATCGTAATCCTGAAAACTCAATCTGGTTGGGAAACGTTGACGTGAAATTAAAATGTATAGGAAAGGCTTGTCCCAAAATAAAAGTAACTATTATAAAATAGAAGTAAAATCCTATAAAATCTCCGAGAAGCTGTCTTCCATTTTCAGTGGTAACACTACTGACCAAAAGTTTTCATGAATTGGATTCAAAGCCCATACTTACAGATTACAACCTAATATACAAATGATCCAGCATAAAACGATAATATATTATATTTTTACTACTACTACTAATTAAATACTGAAGCATTGGTTTGTATTTCACTTTTATGTTAAGAAATCATTAGTCAACTTACATATAACTCCAATTTCTTTTATGTTATCAAACGCACAGACACCTGTCGTTCCCAGGGTAGCACAAACCTAAAACAAAATAACGATAAATTCTTAATGATTCATTCTATTCTTTAATACGGATAGAAATTTTTGTACATTCAGTTTTACTGACTAGTTTATCAAGGAAAAACTAGAAAATCTATATTGACAGAAAAAGACTCAAACTTAAAAGAGATCATTTTCTTCGATGGGTAGTAAAATGTATCCAATACCATGATAGAATGCAAAGGAAAAACATTGAGCAATTAAGGATCAATAAATCAACTTTAAACATCTTTTGTAATGAATAGAATGGAATATTAATGAAAGTAAAAGATTCCTTTCCGTCTAAAAGCTATAAATCTGTATATCGAAGCAAAGGCGAAATTCAGACATTTTTGTAGAAACCAGAAGCTCCTGTCTAAATATTGCAAAAAGGTTTCTTCTCTCCTTCTTAGAAAAAGTAAAAATATAGAATGAATGCATTTCGTATGCATATTGTGTACCACAGCTTTGTTCTAAGGAATTTTGTAACTTGTAATGCAGGATTCAAATTAACTCTCTGACCGGTCAGGGTTTTCGCTAAGAAAGCACAAATTTCCCAAAACTACTATGAGAAAAAATTATTTTCTTGATTTTGACGTAAAAATTCTCCTGGTATTTTATATCTGAATTTGTGTACTTTTAATATATTACCTTAATTTTTTGGACATATTTTAATATGCACGTATATATACGTTCTTGCCGATATCACAAAAATATTCTAGGACGTATATATACGACCTTGCCAGTTAGATGGTTTTAAAGCATAATTCAAAGTACTGGACAATATATGAATGCTTGTACTCACAAAAAAAGGAATGAGGCCCTTTTCTCTGTCTCGTTCGATGGCTTCGATGAGTTTGTCTCCTCTGAGACTAAACTCTGAGTTACTCTCAATGTACCGCATCTGCACAAGACCAATAAGGCCGGCTTTTTCGACAGACGAATGAGCCTGAGAAAAAGGGAAATAAAATTTATTTGAGCATATCTCAGATTACACTGTTTATCATACGTTAACAAAAATATAAAAGAATACCTTGGTAAAAATATAGTTACATTTTAAAATAAAATGACTGCACATTTTCATTGCAGCATCGTAAGTTGGTTGATAACTTATAAAGCAGTAAATGTGCAAGTTACATGACGCAAGACATCTAAGTAAGTTACGTAAATGAAAATAAAAAGGACATATATATACGGCTTATTTTTTACAATGCTTTATTTTTAAAATGAATATAAACTTTTACTAAACATAACTCTAGGAGCCGAGAGGCTAGATAAGGAGTTTCATTCTGCAAATTAACTAAAATTTAAATCCTTTATTTAATTTTTTAATTATAAAAATTAAAAAAATTAATTAAAAATATTTTAAAATTAAATTTAATTTTAATTTACATAAACATGAGCATTTGCTTTACTTATTTATTTTTTTCTTAAATTGGAAGCGTACATCTATGTCTAAAGGTTACAGAGCCTCGTTTTCCTTGGTGACATAAACTAACGAGCTCTTGAAAGACTGTAGAGGAATTATCGTCCGGTACTAACAGCAGACAGACAAAGACAGAAGAAAGGTGTAAATGACTCTTTTATTTGATCATAAAGAATTTACAGTCGTCCCCCGCTTAGGTTTACGTAAGCCAACACTTCTAGCTTAACTTAAAAAAGTAATGTTGAACTTAAAATAAATTGTAATTAGACTAGCTTACTGGCTCACGTGATAACTAGGCTATGGCTCGTAGAAGCTGGCGGAACAAGTCTAATTGGCTAGAAGCACTCGGTGCCACAGAATCAAATCGCTATTAAGTCACGGTAACAAGCAGGCAGAACACGCTCTAAACTCAAGTTCCGAAACCTTCGCTTAAATAGCATTTCTTTCTCCTTTGATTTAAATAAACGAGCGATATGTAATTAACATTCTGGAAGGAAAGCGTGTGTGAAAAGGAGAGTGAAAGGAAAGTAGCTTTAACTAAAAAAGTTAGCAGTTACGTTTTATTTATTAAGTTTAACTAAAGTTATTAGTCAAACTAAATAAATAAATCCTCACACCGTTACAAAAAGAAAGGCCGCATTAAAGACTTTCGTTTCGTAATAGCCTGACGTACGCATGATTTATGTGTTTGTTCATTTGCGTTGTGCATATTTAAAATATGGGTTTGTTCAAACGCTGATGAAACGGGACAGCTTCCGTCATATAATGCGGTCTAATGAGCGCCAATCGGAATTAAGTGCCGCTCGCCATTTGATGAAGCTAAATTGTTGCGACGCCACAGAGCAAGAGCAGACAAGGCAGCACCAGTACGGTCCCTGCCGAGCCTTATTCTGTCCCGAGAGCCCTCAGGCCTTCTGTGAAGTCTGTTATTATGCCCCCGTGGTTGAGACTGCCTAGGTACAGATCGTAACCAATACTTCCCAGGCGTTCGCCTGAGTCAACCCCCGGGGAAAGGACTTTGGAAATACAATGAACATGGTGTGTATTACTTCCTGGACGTACAGAAGTTGTGAATTAAATCTATAAGGTATTTTTCCGGCCTTCTTAGCGTGCCTTCGTAGTGTAGTGATCTGCTTGCTGGGCGCGTATTCCAGAGGTCCATGGTTCGATTCCCTGGGAAGGAGTTGCTCAGTTTTCATCTTTCATGCTTCTAATTAACCTCATGTCTCTACAGTGCCACTCGAAATAAAAGGGTGTGGATGATGATCCTCCACACCAAGGATTTGGCGATTGAGTCGCCTAAACCCTCCAGTTACCCTTTGAAAAGCGGAGTATATAATGTATTTCTTCCGCCTTCTTAACATGCCTTCATACTGTAGTGATCTGCACGATGGGCGCGTGGTTCCAGAGGTCCGTGGTTTGATTCCCGGCGAAGGAGCTGCTCATTTTTCATCATTCCTGCTTCCAAAATACCTAATTGTTGGTTGTGCATTAGCACTGAAGGCGTAATGAGTACGTTTCCTCAAGCACAGAATTAAAGAATCATAAGTCAAAAATTTTAACTACGAAATCTTTATTTTAATAGGATAATTTTGCTTAACTTAAGCATAACAAAGGGTAATAATGTTCCAGGACATTAAAATTGAAGTATTCAAAAGAATAACTTACAGAGAATCATCATCAGTACTAAATATCATCAGGCTTACCTATATTAGGCAATAAGAAAATAAACAGGAATATACTTTGCCATCGTACCTGAAAGAGAAGAAAGTACTATTGGATTAGACCTTTGGCCAGGTACAAGTAGCTAGGGTGAAAATCAAATATACTGCATTGCACACGAGGTTTACTTTCTCTCGCCAATATATACCTTGGCGCACGTTCGTTTCGTATGCCTTTCGAGTTTCATTATGCAAAATACCTAAATTTATGCTAACACTAATGTCTCTACAAACCTTTATTTTGCGTCTATTCATTATGTTTTCAGTTCTTTAGAAAAGAAGAAAATTTCTTAATTTCATAAAGCGCATGAAAAGGATGATATAAATTTTATTAGAAAATAATAGTAATAAAAAGAACAACAAGAATATTCAGGTAAGCTTTTTTAAGACATTAATAAATTAATAAAAATAAAATACTGAAAAAAATCATTAAGTTCTACAGGTTAATGCTTTTTAACAAAAAAATATGATAATTTTACGGAAAATTAAAAAATTATTTTTCTTTAAAATTTTTTGTTGCCATGAACTTGAAATATAAACTTTCAATGATTCCCCCCCTTATTCTTTATTAGTAACCCAAGGTTGCAAAAAGTTAATGAAAAAGAAAACACGTCAAAACTACAATAAACCACACATTTTTGTATGAAAACTTGACTACAAAAGAACATACCTGATCGGAAGTATAAGCTACCAGTCTTGCGTTCAAATCTGCATCCGAAGTTTGATCTAGTGTCTCTCGTAAATTCTCGAACATCTGCGTACGGGCTGCCAAAAGACTTATCAGCGTTGCCTCGCTTGCTGTTGTCTATGAATATCAAAATAAAATAGCGTACATTATTCACACCGAATTAATCAAAATGATTTATTGCTTATTGATTTATTGAGCACTATATAGAAAACATTTCGAATATTCAGCACACATTTTCGATTCGTTTTCACAGCATAAAAATTAAATCAACAAAAATAAAGGCAGACTGCCGCCGCAAAACATATTATTAATGCCACAGCTGATTTTCATATTTGCCGGTTAATGCTGACTTTATGACTCTAGTATAAAAATCATGCTGGATTTCCGATTTCTCCGCATGTGTAACGTAAAAATTAGCCAATTGTCCTTAAGAAATCGTTCACTGAGTCGTCCCCCATCTTAGTCAAATAGCTATTTCTTACTTTCCATAATTAATAAGCAACGAATAACAATAATTTTCTTAATGGAAAACTATATATCGGTAGGGTAGTAATTAAAAAAATAAAACTTCCAGAATTATATGTAGAAGTAAACTGAAAAATTACCGCATCAAGATACATATTTATGTATTCGAAGTCCTATCTAATAAAGTACTAAACACATTTTAAAGTTAGGTAAAAATTCAGACTTATATTTACTTCAGTTTTATTAAATTCAGACTGAGTTTTATTAAGTAAGTTTTAAAAGCTCGATACACCTCGAAGAGGATTGGATTGGATTGGATTATTTAATTATGGAAAAGCACACGAGGGCTATCTGCCTAAAGGGAGGGATGCCTTCGTGGAGGACTTTCTAAGGGTAACTGGCTCGTATACACGTTACACTTGGGGAAAACCACGAGAACGCCCATGCAGCCAGCCCATTCGCGGGATTCGATCTCGAAGACGTGTGATACACTTCTTTTTTCTTCGAGAATCAAAACTATTTCATGTAAAATAATTTTCTTTCAAGAAAAAGAAATCTGTCCCAGATTGCTTGAAATGCATAGAGTTTTACCGTAAAAGCTTACATCAGCTTTAATTTTCCACATATATTAAAGACTTAAGCTCTGTAGCAACGATTGTACCAAATAAATTTCTTATAAAAAATTGGATAAATTCTAAATTTTTCCTTTCTTAGGAAGCTTTTCATTTCGTCATTTTTATAAAGTTCTACCTACGCTTAACTATTTTTCATTGCTGACAGATATTGTTAAAATAGTAAGCTAGTAAACTGTTACTAACTAAGTATTATGTCTACTAGAAAACTGTTATGTCTTTTTAGTAAGCTGATATCATGTCACAGGGAAATAAAATCTCAACATTTTATTTGAGCATTTGTTACAAGTTTTGTATGCAAGAATTCTAATGAAATAAATCCATAGCAACGTCTTAAACCAGCGGTTCTCAAACTTTTGACTAACGCGAATCATCTAAACAAAAATTGAAAAACTTTAGTACCACCACTATATTTTACAATGATTTTTTTCCATCTCAAGAGAAATATTAAAAAAAAGCATATTTTGCCATTTGCACAATCTGTTGGCTATTAGTATTAAACATTCACACATAAAAACATTAGATTAAAAATTCGTTACCGTTTTAATTATCAAAATTTAAGTTATAATAATTTAATTCTAAAATTTAGTGTGAAATTTGGGAGTGTTTAAAGAGAGAAAAATTTTTTTATATCTGGTCATACTTTGCCTAGTTTTAAGTAAATTAAAACCCACTTTTGAATTTGTTCTGTATTTTTTTTCTTCTCGGAAATATAACATTGAAGAAAATGCTTGTTCACACAAACAGGTTGTGATGTAAAAAAGGAATAAAAATTTAATAGCTTTATTTGAAATGCCTTAAAATAATTTTTTCATTTCAACCTAAAGTTAACAAGTGTGTTATTTTTGAAATCTTCAGTTAGAGTTTGATCACAGAATCACGAGATTTTTGAATTTAATAGTTAAAAATACTTCATTTCTTTGTGTACCACGTATTTTTCTCTTGCGTACCATCAGTGGTACGAGAACCACCGGTTGAAAATCGCTGTCTTACTTTAGTCTTTTTTTTTTTTTTTTTTTTTTGTTAGGGTAACCGACATTTTTCGAAGGTTCGAATGGCGTTTTCGAAATATTTGTTACATTTCTGAACGTCTAAGATTTTCTTTTATTGGATTGCACTCGTACCACATAATCACCACATAAGTAATAAAAAATTATTATATTGTGAAATTTATGCTAAACTGAAAAGTTTAGATCGAAACTAACCAAAACATTAACCATCACTGAGAAGAAAATAATGACGATAAAAGCATATTTTTGACTTTATATATAAAGAAGAATGTCTGTTTGTGTGTTTGTTTGTTCGCGATTAACTCAGTCACTACTATAGCTATCGTCACCAAACTTTCACCAAACTTTCTACATTTCTTTTCTGGGTCCTGGGAAAGGTTGACGTCCACTTAAAAAAATCAAAGATATTAATTAAAAACTCTGAAAACGCTAAGGAGTGCCAACAGTCTTGCACGCTGGAGATAAAAATGTACTTTATTTCTCGAAATGTTGCCACTTTTCCGTTTCAAATCGTAGAGTTTGTTAATCATAATAGTATTGCCAAACATTAAGTACATTATTCCCGATTCCAAAAATTCGTGGGAAGCTATTTCAATTGTTCTCAACTTCGTACGACTTTAATCAGCCGAGATATTAATTAAAAACTCTGAAAACACTGATTTTCGCAATCATTTTTCTGAGTGGCAACAGTCTCGCACGTTAGAGATAAAAATGCTTTACTCTGAAAAGTGTTGCTACTGCTCGCTTTCAAGTCATAGAGTTTGTTAATAAAAGTTTTGTAAATTTTACAAAATCTATACATATTAAGAAGAACGTCTGTTTGTGTGTGTTTATTTGCGTTATTGATTTCTGATCAATTATGATACATGTTTTGCCACATTTAATCGACTAAAATTGAATATAGGTGAAATATTGGGCGGAACTTGAGCTTTTACGACCATTTGATTAGAAAGAAGAAAATCATTAAAAACTGCGTGCCATTGTTGCTGGTATAATGAGACAGAATTATCTTAATTTTCTATTGAAATTTTGTATGTGGGTTCCCTATCGCATCAGACTGAAAAATGTATGACCATGAATCGTATTTTTTGCATCGTTATTAGGGAAGGATTACAACGGTAACGTTTTCTTTGTTAACAGATGCATTACTCTCAATTTAATTTAACTGGCATTGGCTAATTCCGCTGTGTTATATATACTAACCATATGCATACTGTGAAAGAGAATAACTGGAAAATATTGATTCACTAGTGATATATGGCCAAATAATGTAAGTCAGCCCTCAAAAATTAAAAAAAGAAATACATACACTATCGAAAGAAAAATGATCAAATTTAAATTCTATAAGGCAAATGTTTTAACCCCTACTCTACTTCATGCATAATAATAAACAAACTTCGTGCGTAAAATTTCAAGTGATTCTGTGTGGAAATTTTAGAGTTATCATAGTTGCCGTGAACATAAACCTTAAAAAAAAGGAAAACAATTAATCAAAAATTGCATTTAATGTTTTCAGATTAATGTTACATGACAAATATCCATAACTCTTCATGCAGTGGTGTAGCCAGCATAACTGGCGCCCGGGACAAAATACCTTTAAAAATAATGCAAATAATAATAAAATGCTGAATCTGCCATAAAATACTCTAAAATATATTAAGAACAGTTACTACCTAACTACCTTGGATTCGGAAATGTATCTATGTTAGCGGAAAAATCAGACAAACGATGATCTAGAATTAACGGTATTATTTATTCTACATATTTATATAATTGTTTTTAAAAAAGTACAATTTTTAAACAATTAAAAGTTTAAATATATATTATAGATAAGTAGATATATTTATTGATAAAAATATAGTATTATAATACATTAATACGATTAATTACTAGGTATACATTTTTCTTGTCTTGGATGAAGCAAATTTATCAATTACTTCATCAAAGTCGATCATTTCAAATTTTTCTCTTTCCACATTTAAAAATGCTAGATGACTTAAGGGATCTTGTCCTATCGTTGGCTGTAAGTATGTCAAAATTTATTTTAATTTTCTGAACGAACATTCATAGCTAGCATTTGATAATGAAATAGTAAGGAGCATTTAATTTGCGACTCTTAGGTTTGAAAAAACATTTTTTCCGTAGATCTGTAATGGAGTTTTAGGTTCAGTTTCTTTTCTACTGCGGAATAACATCTTGCAGTCACTCTTGAATTGCTCAAAACAATTAGGAGATATTGTGAGTTCGGGTATTAAATAACCATATAATCGACGACCTTTTTAACAAAAGGAAATAGAAGAGATTATAAAGGAAAATTATAACGTTTACAAAGTTGGGAATATGCAAATTTAGTCTGTGACGTCGGAAATTAGGCGTTTTAGATGAAGAGTAAGGAGCGACCTGAAGCATTCCTTTAGTAATAGGAGTAATTAGGAGACTAAAAACAACTAACACGCGTTGAATGCTTTGTAGCAGTGAATATACGATATCTCAGCAAATTGACATAGTTGAATCGGTAGCCAGAAAGACCATCAGTCGTCTACAGAAGAGTCAGACGCAATCCATTGTAGCGTAAGCGTTAGAAGTTTCCCAAATGTCATTTCAAAAAATCAAATGTCATTTAAAAAAATCAAATGTCATTTCCAGACTATGGAATCAGTTTTTGGAAACTGGATATGTTTCGGATCGGAGATTATCATTCGTTAAGTCGTGCTCGACCCGAAGGCCTTTGCCACTACATGTTTATCAATCCCCTAAGGACCTGTAAAAGTTCGTTAAATTAAGTAAAAATGGAAAAATCTTGTGCACTTGTAATAAAAGTGCAAAGTCTTCAGTAGTGAAGAAGTAGATCAGGCGTGGCGCTATATATCGGCCACAGATGATGTTTTCTTTGGATAAGCAATAATAGCAACTAATAACTTGGGCATATCTTTTTGCAATGGCATATCTTTTACAAATTATCGTAGATTTGACACAGTATCGCACAGTAAAAATAGAAAATAATATATAC